AGTGGCCAGATTAGAAGCAAGATAAGTTGGTCAATAAAGGCCCTCACAAAGTGACACTTAAACATCAACATCTACCAATGTTTGCAAAAAATTTGGTTGGGTTTTTTTTTTTTGTTTTTTACCTTTTCTGTTTGTTTGTTTGTCCTTCTGTTAGAGAAATTGTTAATACAATGGGGTTGCTATGGCTGCTATTGATGTGACTCACGAAATGGAGGGAGATACTAAAGAAATATCCATTTGTGATTACTTTTATAAGTCTATTTATTTAAAAATGTTTGTTTCCTTTTGAATATTTACTTATTTCTGAAACTGAAAAAAAAAAAAAAGGAAAAAAAAGAAAAAAAAAAAAAACATAACCTTTACCTGACCTAGGTCAGGAGGCAAATTATCCTACTCTTGTCTCACGCTGGGAAATGGCCCTAGGTGTGGCTCAAGACAAAGAGGGGACTTTGGGTCATTGCCACATCCTTTATCTGGCTGGTCTGGAAATATGGCATAACCATGCTTAGACATCCAAAGCCAAGACTTATATTTATCCATTCCTTTCTGTATAATGTTTATCCTTTTATAAAATGTAACTTTTTCCCAAGTTTGAAATGTATAAACTGTGCTTTTATTCCACCTTATTCTTAAATGTACTAAAATAAATTAAACTGTCTGACTCAAGCCAGTCAAGAATGCTTCTCAGTGTCAGGCAAAGAATATAACAAAATAGAGTGATAGCTCCTCAACGGGCACCTTTGTTTACCTAGCCAAGCCAAGACCTCAGAGATCAGCTTCCACTGTTCTCCAGGGTCTGGGTTTCATAATCCCATCATCCCCGCCCTGAACCCTGGCTGGTCTGGAAAGCCAGCATTCCTTAGAGACTCTGCTACACTCAGAGAGCTTTCCTCACCTGGCTGGGAGGAGATTTCCAGCCACATCATAAGAGCTCAGCCAACCAGAAACAAAAGAGGGAGCATTCAAACTGAAACAATGGACCTTCTTGTATAAAAACTTGTGCAAAGCACATGCTCTCTTATGCTTGTAATTTTCAGAGCAGAAGCTTGCAAGCATCACATTTTGGCCAAAATGGAATAAAATGCCTCCTCTGACCTATGCCTTTGCTTCACTGGTGAGTTTTTTAATCTGGAACTTTGAGGTTTTAAAAATTATGGTTGGTATAGCTCACCAAGCCAAACTCTCTCATTTAATTGTGGTCTAAATTCCATATCAATTCCCCAAGATTGGTTTTTCTTACTGCATCTTGTTTCTTGTTCTTCCACCAGCGCCAAGTGGGGTCATGGACTGGGTCAGCATAAGCCTAGCAAGATAACAAAAAAGAAAACTTGGGAAAGTACAGTTGGAAGAAAGAGAAAGAGAAAAGACCCCACCCAGGTACAAGAGCAGCCTCAGCCAGAAGGAACCCAGCATTATCTGTGACAGTAGCACAGAAACCAAGCCAGAAACATAAAATCCACATCCCGCCTTGGATTTTTAAAGTAAAGTGGGTCTTCCAGAAAAAGCACTGGAGACAGGAGGTTCTTGTGGGCTTGTGGTGGCCTCTGGTGGCTGATAAGAAGCAAGACACTGAGGCTCATCCACACTGACCATTTAAAAGCTAACTTCAAACTGTGGCAGCCAGGCAACAAAAATGCTCCAAAAACACGCAAAAGAAAGTGCTCTGTGATTTGTGCCAGCATTTCCTATGTAATCATCTGCATACCGAAAAACACTTTCTTCACTATTGTTTTGAATCTGCATTAATTGGTCAAAGAAGATGATGCCTAAGAAGGCAATGTTCCTGTTCTGCTGTGGACATGGCTTGTGGGATGCTGCCCTTAGGACAAGATGCCCAAATGCAGGCACATACAAGAGCCCCACTCTCATTGGAAAAGAAGACTTCCCTTTTTAAACTCCCAAAAGACCTCCAGAAAGTATGAATGCCGCCCTTGGCTTGTTTTAATCCAAAACAGGAGAAGAAGGGTTGACATTCAAAGTGGGCCTCTTGGTCCTTTCAGTGGGAGGGACCTATAAATACATCTATAAATATGTAAATATTACACAAGACCATCAAGGCCAAGGAGCATCTACTGTTTTCAAATTGGAAACAAGTGTTTCCCAAGCTTCAAATGGATGTCCCAGATTCCAGGTGAGAAACTAGAGGCTGCTCACTTCTGCAAGCTTTCAGCCCAAGAATGACACACAACAAGGGCAGAAAAAAATTAGAGTTTGAAAAGTGAGAGAGGAGAGGCATTTTCATTCTAGTCAGTGGAGTTTTCCAGGACCTCTTCCTGCACTGAGGCCTGGATTCAATCTGATAATTCTAGGCCTTGTACCAGGAGTGGACGGGAGAAAAGCCCGATATAAGTGAGCACAAGCCTGTGCATAGGGAAACCACTTTCTGAAGTTGACATCAAAAATCTGTCCTCACTCTGTGGTAAGCTGAATGCAGCTGTAGCAGTTGGTAGACCAGTCCCTGGTACACAATCAGCGACTTCTGGTCATAGAAGCCTGTCTTGACCATGATTTCCGGAGGCTTGACACGGTAATGCTCCATCCGAGTATAGCGCTGTGGGAACGGCAAGTCCACAAAGCGGACCACGGCAAATGGGCAACGGTGGGTGAATCTGATGTAGTCTATGCCACTGGGAACAAAGAAGCCAAGCCATCATTTATGGTTATTATTATTATTATTATTATTATTATTATTATTATTACTACCTGCCTCTTCTCGAGGTGGGTTACAGAATAACTGAAACACATAAACATTGTAAACATTCTATAAATATACATATTTACATCTGACTATAAACTATTTCAATCTCACAAACTCAAGGAGAATTCTACCTCAAATTTTGAGGAAGAGAATGGCCCTCCAGAAGTACATGGACTGCAACTCCCATCATCCCTCAACCTGGATGGTGCCAATGGAGTTTGAAACCAAGAATACATGATGGGTCATACATTCCACATCTTTGACCTGATCCTTGACTGGAGTCCTTCGATCCAATGGAGTACCCAGCCATAGTCTGGGTTTAGACTTCACCTCACAGTGAACAACTTTCCCTGGGCACAAGAAAGTGCTGAGAACCACTGTGGAACAACCGACTGAGAGTGGGATTTCTGGCTAGCCTTGAAGGCCACCGTTTGTGTCTGAGCGAACGATGCTCTCTCGTCCAAAGAAACTTTCAAATAAAGTGGAAGCAGGTGCTAGATCTGAGAAGCCATTCTCTGGACTACAACTATCTATATAGTCCATTGCCAGTAGAACTATTGCTGAGATGGTGGACAAGTTCAGAAACAATTCAGCCGCACCTTGTGCGCCACCACTCACTTGTGCGTCATCCCTTTGTGAGGAGTGCTGATCACCTGGTCGTAGGTCAGGATATGATCCAGAGGGAATTTCCTCTTGATTAACCTTCCAGTGGTTCCAGGTTCCTCCCTATAAACCAACTGAAAGAGAAGGGATTAAGAGCAGTTGATTCAGGCCTCTTCAACCCTCCTGCTGTTTGGGCCAGCAACTCCCAGAAGCCCTTCAATAGTCAATGGTTAGGAATTCTGGGAGTTGGAGGCCCAAAGAGCTAATCATAGAGAGAATCTAAGGGTTCCCAATAAATAATAATAATAATAATAATAATACTTTATTTGTACCCCGCAACCATCTTACATAAGGCCGAGCCCAAAACACAACAATACAAGTAATAATAACAACAATACAAGCAATTAAAAAACATAGACCATAAAATATACAACATTATCAATAAGACAACACACAATTAAAAACAGTGGGAAGGCCAAATGTAGAGTTAAAATTGGAAATAATGCTGGGACATGGACGAAAGGTGATACTGGTGTTTGTGGAAGGGCATACGAGCAGACCTAAAGAAATGTAAAGTGCTTTGGAGGACAAAGTGTGTAGGAACATTATTCCGGGAAGGCACACTGGAACAGCCACATCTTCAAGCTCCTCCTGAATACTGCCAGAGTTGGGGCCTGTCTGATATCTTTAGGGAGTGAGTTCCAGAGTGGCCACCACCGAAAAGGCCCTCTCTCTCGTTCCCACCAATCGTGCCTGCAATGCTGGTGGGATCGAGAGCAGGGCCTCTCCGGATGATCGAAGGGATCGTGTGGGTTCATATACAGAGATGCGGTCACAATATTCACACAATACAATATAATCCAAAACTCCTACTCTTTTTATTTGTCCAGGGACAGCAGAAGCAAGAGCAAGCATGTAGTCTCTTCTCAGAGCGGGCAACACATTTCCCAGCCATTTCTTGGGCCTCTCTCCCAATCCCTGTTAACACAAGTTGTGTGGGTGCAGTACTTGTTGTTCGATGCACTTTAGTTGGGAATTGTTTACTGAGGGCAATGAAGAATGAAAAATGGAGAAACATGGGGCCAGCATTTGTGGTTTGGTGACAGCAGTCACATGGCGATTGAGCTCAACAGCAGCCTGATCAGAAGGCTCAATGTGAAAATGCTCTCTGAGATATCCAAGGGCCACAGTGACAAGGAGAGGGCTGATCTCAGAATCGGCAAAAAGGGAACAGATGCCGATAAGAGCAAAACTTCAGCTTGGCTCATACATATCCCAGTGCTGAGAGAAAGAGGCAGATGAAGCCATGATTGTGAGTTACTGTACTCCTTGAATGTCTCTGTTGTCAGATTCTCAGTATTTAGGTTCCTAGACATCAGGCTATGATCATAATGAGAAGGAAAAGTCAAAGGTGCATCACTTGGTCACCAATAAAAGGAATTAAGTGTGTTAAGAGAAAGAAGGGCTGCAACAATGGCTTTGGGAGAGCCGGTCCTCCATTGCCTTCCTCTGGAGTTCAGAGAGTGCCAGTTGACCTTGGCTCACCTATGGTGGGTTTCCATAGGCGAGCCAGGATCTGAAATTCTCATCTCCAAGAGTCCTGTTGATACTGTTATCAGGACTCTCATGCTGTTTCTTACTACCATAGTTCCACTTGAACTTCTAACTGTCACAAACACACCGGAGACACCCACCTCTTGCATCCCATCCTTGTCAAAGAAAACCGTGACTATAGCTTGAGTGGCATTCAAGTCGTGATCCGGTGAGCCTTCCATCACTTGCAGGGTATTGTACAATGACCAGGCTTCGGATGGATACGCTCTTTTGATCTCTGTGCTGCTTTCTTTCATAACCCAGATCTTGAATTGAAGGGTGGGAAGAGAGAGAGAAATGCGCAACTAAAATCTGGTTGACATTTATTTTAATCCCCCATCCCCTCAATTCTTTTTTTGCTGTAGTCACTGATAGAAAAAATAAACACAACAAACAACATCATGAGTAACAGAACAAAGGTAATACTACAAAATGGAAGCCTGTAAGACGTTAGAAATGAGCTACTTTGTATAAAAAAAAACTTTCAGAGCTAATTAGACTGAGAAGAAAAGCATGGTCCTGGTCCACCATATTTTCAGAGATCACTCAAACAGTATCATTTGTTAACAAGGGACTACACTGAAGAAATGATTCTAAGCCAAATCACTTTGGCGGAAAGGAAAATAAATGTACGTACCTCATCTGCGTCTGTCACAAAAGCAATGTGGCCAGTAAAGGACATAACAAAATATTTGATGGAATAGTCGCCCGGAAAGTTAGACAAATATACATAGCTCACCATGTCATTGCTGTCAAGAAATATCAAGTAAGGAAAGTTTATGTTATTGCTTTAAAATTTTAAATTGCTCAAGTAAAGCATTGCTCTTATGTGCCTTCAAGTCACATAACATTTCCTGCTTCACAGGAAATCTGCTACAAAACAGGAGCTTTTTTGTTGCGTTTTAGGGTCAGAGAAGCAGATGGCGAAAACAGAAGAATGGCCTTTCTCAGGATGCCGTGCTTGCTCAATCAATGTTCAACATTTACACAAATGATCAGTGACTGCCAGGAGGGACAGAGAGTTTCATCTATGCTGACGATCATACCATCACCGCTCAAGCAGCAAGCTTTGAAATGGTTAAACAGAAGCTCTTTGAAGCTTTAGGTGCTCTTACTGCATATTACTGGGAAAACCAGCAAATTCCTAATCCATATAAAATGCAGACATGTACTTTTCACCTTAGGAACAGACAAGCATCTTGAGCTCTGAGGATTACCTGGGAAGGAATCCCCCTGGAGCATTGAAGCACACCCAAATACCTGGGAGTTACTCTGGATCATGCTCTGTAATGTAATGTGTTTTTAATTACATTACAACTGTACCCTCAATTCACTTCTGACGCGATAAATATATAATTCATTTCCGACTTACGGTGATTTTCTCCTGCCCTCGAGTCTAGTCAGGGGCTACTGTGGTTTTTAGTTCTGAATATGTTTTTATGGATTTTAACTGATTTTTTAAAAATACAAATGATATTTCTTTCTGTTTTAATGTTTGTATATTTGTATATTTTAAATTGTATGGAAATGCTTTTAATTTACACCACTTTGAATCTCTTGGTGGGGGAAAAGTGGGATAGAAATAATTATATTTTTTATTTAAAAAAAAGGACTCGGGGGAATGGGTTCAAGCTACAGGAAAGGAGATCCCACCTGAACATTAGAAAGAGCTTCTTGACCACGAGAAGAGCTGTTCAACAGTGAAACTCACTGCTTTGGAGCGTGGTGGAGGCCCCTGGAGTCTCCTCCAACTCGATTATTCTATTATTCTAAGGCTAAGGTATCACGAGGCATTCTTGGCAAGAGTTGTTCAGAGGGAGAGAAGGGTTGCACGTCCCTCCCTCTGAGGATGAGAGAGTGTGGCTTGCCCAAAGTCACTCAGTGGGTTGCTATGGCCAAGCAGAGATCTGAACCCTAGTTTCAAGTCATAGTCCAAAATCACTAACCCAAGCTGATTCTAAGGGGCGGGGGGGATTACAACAGACTCTCCTCCCATGATTCTACCTCCTATTGAACTAAAGATCAGCCATGAGCCTAGAGCAGGGCCTGGGACTGGCTCTAGACAAACATGTTGGGGTCTGCAGGACAGGAGTGTGAAGCCGCAGCCACGTGGATGGGCTCCCCACTCTGACTGCAGCCTCCGTTTGAGAACATTATTCCTGTTACTAAAAAAGGATTAAGGTACAATATTGAAATGGGAAGCCACCCGAGATCACATTCAAATCAGCATGTTTTGGGCAGCAGGCCTTACCTTTGCAAGATAGCATTCCCCCAGACGTAGAATATCTTACTGAAGGGGTTGAAAGCCAAACCTACGGGGGTGAATAATCGAGTAGTATATTGCTCCGTCCCCAGCAACAGCACGTATCCTCTGTCTGAGACAGCTAAGGGGAAAAGACAACAACAACAAAGACAAGGAACCACAAAAGTTTTGCAGTGCAATGAGTTACAGAGGATAGCAGGGAGCAGAAGAGATGCAGCGGAGGTGACTGCCTCCCCCTCCCCCCACCAGTGTTGGGCAATTTCAAAAAGGAAACAGCATTTCCAAAGGAAAGATGCAACAACAGCAGCAGCAGTTTTGCACATCAGATGCTTCTTGTGTTAGCAGTAGAGCAAATAAGCTTCGGCAATTTATTCAAACACTTTATTCAAAGAACTACACTTCTAGATAAGAAAGCAAAGGCCCTTGTTATCTAGCCATGTAAATCACAGCTGACATCTTCTCTCTCTCCATGCTTACAGGAGAAGAACTAAATGGAGGACTCAGGAGCTTGCCATGTGCTCAGGAAAAAGAGGCGTGTCCCTGAGAAGTATCAGTCTAACAGTCAGGGAATCGAAGGAAAAAACAGAGTGAAATGCAAGCCAATGGGGAAGGGCTTTTCCTGCCAATAAACCCATCTGCCTATCTCTTGATGAGGACCATAAACTTGTGCAGGATGTGGTTGAGTTCCAACACTTTCCATACGTCAGACTTTTTTTTTGAAACAAGAGTGTTACTGGACACTCAGTGTTCATCTCTTCCCTACCCCATCCCCACCCCAAATACAAACAAGCAATTGCAACAACTTTGGATACCTATATGATTTGCAGGGAGGTGTCAATGGATGTAAGTCTTTTAAATGTAACAATAGACTCTGACCTGTCACGAGATGCTGTGGTTCTTACCTTTCGGTATATATTCAGGGAGTTCAAAAATGATCTTAAGATAATTATCTGAAAATTGAATAGAGAAAACCACAATAAGATGTGCAATAAAGACCCACATTTGTAGCCTGTACTTCAGTCACTAGCTACTTCTTTGGGTCCTACCCAACCTCATGTTTCACAACTTCTCACTCACTGTACACATACACCTTTGCTGCCTTACAAGTGCTAGAGCAGTGGTTCCCAACCTGTTTTTTTTAAAACCAGGGACAACTTGACCAGGGTTCATTTCTCCAGGGACCACTTTGACCAGGGAACATTTGACTATGGGCCACTTGACTATTTCATTTATTGTCAAAGGCTTTCATGGCTGGAATCATTGGAGTGTTGTGTGGTTTTTGGGCTGAAGAGGTTGAAAGTCAAACCTCCGGGGATGAGGATTCGGATCATACACTGCTCTGTCCCAAGCAACACCACATATGCTCTATCTGAGGCAGCTTCTTCTTCTTCTTCTTCTTCTTCTTCTTATTATTATTATTATTATTATTATTATTATTATATTTATACCCCGCTTTATCTCCCCCGAAGGAGACTCAAAGTGACTTAGCATAAAAGAATTAGTGAAAGGGCGGAGCATGCAAGTTTGCTGAGCAGTCTGCTGAAAGCTCCTCCATCAAAAAAGTAAGTTAAAAATAACTCACCCGAGTTCTAATTCGATTGGGATGGACTCACAGCTTAGCTAATATATCAAGAAACAAAAACAAAACTTAATGTCTTCCTACCAAGAAAAGAAAAAGAAAAAGGCTGGGAGACAGAAAGAGACTGATTAGCAATCTCCAGTTTCCTGTTGAGGCAGCCTGGAGATGTGTTGCTATTTTGGATGAACTCCAGCAGCAGAGAATCCAGATTAAAAGAAGAACAGAAAACAGAAAAAAAAAACAGCTGAGCAGAGGTGGGAGCGCCGTTCTTTATCTGTTTTACTCATTAGGTTATAAGTCATCTAGAGATGGCCTCAGAAGCCCCTGAAGCTCCAATTTCCACAGATAACATAGGAAAAAAGCTCGACCTTCTGGTGGAAATGATTAAAGGGCTCAAAGGCTCTATGGAAGTTAGAGAGATAAGACAAAAGATGAGTGAAATAGTATCAAAGGAAGTAAAAAATCAAGCCAGGATCCAGTCACTAGAACTGGAAATTAATTATTTGAAATCAATGGTGGTGGCTCTAGAAAACCATTCCAAACGCAGACATTTTTGCTTACAAGGGATTCCTGAGTATATAAAAGACAAAGACTTGATTAACTCTCTGTGTGAGTGGTGGAACCAATGGGACATATCAGCTGGAGAAGAAGATAGAGCATACAGACTTTATCCTCAAAAGAGGGAGGGGGGGGGAGAATCACAAAGGCACCACACCAAGAGTGGTAACAGTGACATTTGTTAAAGAATCAACATGCCTAAAGGTTTTCAAAGCCTTGAGGAGTGTGAATGATCTGCAGTTTAACAGTAATAAAATCGCAGTTTTCCAGGACTTAGCAAGAGCTACAAGGGAGGAGAGAGCCTCCCTCAAGGACATTACGGTCAGCAGACGTCAAATACACATGGGCCTTTCCAGCCACACTAATCATTTTCAGAGAAGGAAAAAAAAACTTACTGCAAAGACTATAGAAGAAGGGGAAATGCTCCTGAAAGACTAAAACCTGATCCAACTCTCACAGAGAAAATCTTCAAGAGAAACAGGAGTCCCAACAGATGAAGAAAAAGTGTCTGAAACAGAGGAAGAACGTCCAACTAAAGAGAAGATCGTCCAACTAAAGAAGTAACCACAAGAAAAAGACCTGGAAAACCTTGTTCAAAGATCTCCTATAGAATTCCTAACAGAAGAAATTTCAAATAACTATACATAATGGACTGTTTCTATAGCTGGGTTTAAAGAAATGCTTATTGGTACCGGCAAAGACATTCTGTAGGGATTTAAAGGACCAGAGCAATCACAACCAGCAAAGACAGGAATTTTTTTTGTCTTAATTGCTAATATAATTTAAATTAGTTTAGTTTTAGTTTATTTGATGCTTAGACCATAGGTCTTTCACATACAAGGCAAGGCAAATAAATAAATACATGAACACCAGATTATTAAATACAATATAAAATACACAATAAAATCCTATAAATCATCAAAATGCTACATATACCAATGGCAAGATGCACCTTTAAAATACTACATAATGTATAGACTCACACCTGCGTAATTAAAAACCAAGTAAAAGCAAATAGATACAGCGTTATTAAAACTACATAAACAGCCAGTATTAGATGAGAGCATCCCCAGCACAGTCAACTGCAATATCAGAGATTAGTTTTGCCCGGATTTTCTGTGCTGCCAGTGCAAAAAGAGACACCTTTTGCGTAACCATAGGGTTAGTGTCAGCCAAGAGATAGAAAATCTTTTCGGACACAGTGTTGGTCTGAAGGAGGTGAAGAATAAACCCCAGGATTTTGGTTCTTGGATCAGAATACAAATTTAAATTAAAAAGTGGGGAAACAGTTGCTAACTATACATGAAAAAGGAGAAGGTGGGGTGTTCTGGAATTAACAATAGGGATGAAGATTGGGTTAAGGGACAGGGATTAAGCGATAGGGATTTTTAAAAAAGTAGATAGCCTGGAAGGGTGAGTAATGCGAGAATTTTATCTGACGGATAGGAGGGGCGGATGCAGGGGCCTCTGTCCTTCATTACTCTCTGGATGGGTGCAAGGAATCTTTTCCTAGCAACCTCCTCAAGGAGGAGGGGGTCATGGGTTCCAGAGGAGGGGTTGTTTTGGGGTAGGGATCTGGGTCCTGCAGCGGTATGGGTTAATATAATGGGATAACCTGCGAAAGAAAGTTGGGAAGGTAAACAACTGACCTATGAGGGAAGAAATTAAATTATTGTCGCTCAATATAAATGGCCTATCTTCTCCGGTTAAAAAATATAAACTGTTTAGAATGTTAACTGAACAGCATGTTGATATATGCTTAATCCAGGAGACTCACAAGAAAAAAAGATAAGGAAAAAATGGTTAAACTTAAAGAATTGGGGTTTACAATATGAATCAAGAGGATCAAATAAATCCAGAGGAGTAGCAATCATAATAAAGAATGCTAACAGTTTTGAATTAGAGAAAATGATATCAGATAAGGAATGGATAAGGGGAAAACTAAACAATAGTGATATCTCTATTGCAAGTGTATATGCTCCAAACACAAAACAAATAAGTTTCATAAATAAAACATTTGCCAAAATTGAAAAACATGCAAAGGGCGATGAAGTCATTGGGGGAGATTTAAACACGGAGTTATACATGAATAGAAGAAGCTTAGGGGTTAGTCCCCCAAGGTTAGAATGTAATGTCAATTTTAAACAATGGAATCTAATCGAGGCCCATAACAGAATAGGTGAAGAGGGTATGGCACCAACTTTCTACTTACACAGACACTCCAAATTCACAACTATAGATTACTTCATAGTTGGAATTAATAACTCTAGAGAAGTTAACGAGATAAAAGTTGGGAAACAATGGCCAGGAGATCATGCTCCAATTTTGCTTAAATTGGGTGAATCTGTGAGGAGACTCGCAAAGAAATGGAGGTTTAACCCAAAGGTAACTTTCAAAGAGAAAGACAAACAAGACATTACAAAACAGATAAAATTTTTTTTTCTAATAAACAGACAACCAGAATTAAAAGAAGCGTTAATATGGGATGCTTTTAAAGCTACTATTAAGGGTACATCATCACTAAAGAAACTGGGATTAATAAGAAAGAAAAATCTACTCTTGAAAAAACTAGAGGAGAAGTAGAGAACTTCCTCCAACAATTTCAAAATCACCCAACAGCTGAAAATAAGACAAGATGGATAGAGAAAAAACAATATTTGGAGAACTTAGAAAAAATTGACGCCACCAAAAAACACCTGTGGATCAAAAATGATTACCAAATCAACTCCATCAATAACTAAAAAAGCTTGTCCAGATTCCTAAAAAAAAAAGGCTAGAAACAGAATACTAAAATTAAAAGATTACAAGGGTCAATTAAAATCAACAGATAATGAAATTAGAGAAATTATGGCAAGTTTTTATGAGAAACTTTACGATGATAAAGATACAATAGAACATGAAGTATATTTACAGACAAACATAGACTATCTCTCACAAATAGAATTAAATAATACAATATCAAATTCAGAAATTGAAAATGTAATAGACAGTCTAAAAGTGAACTCAGCCCCCAGATCAGATGGCCTTACCACAAATTTTTACAAAATTTTTAAAGGGGAAGTTACAATTTTAAAACCAAATAAAGACAAGACAGATCCTAATGCATATAGACCTATCTCCCTCCGTAATGTGGACTATAAGATTTTTACAAAAATCTTAGCAAACAGAAAAAGGGAAAAAATCCCAAAAATAATCCATGAAGATCAATATGGATTTATTAAAAATAGGAAAACAGCAGACCCTATCAGGATCATTCTAAACACTCTAAATCATGCCACAGTTAATAGATCCAAACTGCTTATAGTAAAGCTTGACTTTCATAAAGCATTCGACTCAATAAACCACAAATACCTGAATAAAATATGTGAGGCAAGTGGAATGAGGGGGAAGTTATGCAAAGTAATAAAAGAGATACACAGCGGAAATAAGTCAGTCATAAATGTAAATGGGTTTGATTCAAGATAAATTAATATAAAGAGTGGAACTAAACAAGGATGCCCACTCTCCCCACTGAACCTTTAGCAAATTTAATTAGACAGGACCAAACCATCAAAGGATACAAGGCGGGCAAAGAAGAAATAAAAATAAACCTTTATGCGGATGACGCCATAATAATTTTAAGCGAGGTGAAAGAGTCGCTAAGTTCACTGGTCAAAATAATAAAGGAATTTGGGGAAATCTCAGGGCTTGCAATTAACTTAGATAAAACAGAAATTCTCCATAAGAATCCAACATCGAATGAACTAAAAATCGCCCATAATATTATAGGAGTGAAACTGGGAAAGAAGTCATTAAAATACTTAGGAAAAATCTAAACAACATTATCCAATCAAACTTCAACCACTTATGGAAATCTACAAGTAAATTACTTAAAACCTGGGGGAAGAATTTTCAGGACATCACTTCTAGACTTAAAATTTATAAAATGAAGATTTTACCCAAATTCCTACATTTATTTCAAAGTCTGTCCGTAAACATCTCTGTAAAACTCTTTAAGAAGTAGGACAGTTCCATAAAAAAATGGGTAGCAGGAGGGAATAAAAATAGAATTTCTAATTTTATATTCTATGGTAACCAAGAAATGGGGGGATGGGGAGCCCCATCCCTAGAGTTGTATTATGAGGCATGCCATATTACTAAATTAATAGAATTGGAACTGGAAGGGGAAAATAATGGGTGAAAATAGAGAAAGAATTAAACAATTGGAAAAAGGGCCCATTTATGGAAGAAAAAAATTGATTAACAAGAGCTTTAAAAATTAAGAGATGGCCCCCTCCTCTCAACATTGCATGTTTGGAAGAAATGGAAAAATAAATTACAAATAAATAAAATAGATCCCTTTCCTCTAAGAACCCTGAAAAATAAAGATAAAACATTTAGGAATTTAATCAGGTCCCTGAAAGAGAATGGAGTAAAGAAGGTATGAGACCGCTTGGAATCCAATGGAGATATTTAAAAATGGGATAAGATAAAGGACAAATGTGGCTCAAAGTATTGGATAGCTTGGTTAGACTTGTCGCAAAGAGCACAGGAAATAAAAAAGAAAGAAACATCAAATGCCCCATTGGATAGAATAATTGGCTGGAAAATAGAAAAAGAGAAAGGCATTATAGGGGAAATATATAAGGAACTAATAGCCTTATCCTATAATACAAAACATACTTTAGTAGAGGCCTGGAAACAGGATATAAACTTTAATGAAAACTTAGTAAACTCCTGGATCAATAAAACTAAAAAAAAACAAAGAAACATAAGAATCAAAGAAACACAAAAGAAAATAATTTCAAAATGGTATAGGGCCCCCTCTCAATTGGCTCACATTATGAAAAACACTTCTAACAAATGCTGGCATAAATGCGGGGAGACTGGTATTTTTTCACACATGTGGTGGGGCTGCTCTGAAATCCAAAAATATTATAATACTGTTCGAGAAGTAATAGAGGAAATAATAGAGCAAAAACTACATTGGAATAAATCTCGATTTCTGTCCCTCACCATAAAGGAGGGGAACAACGAATGGTCAGATATATTGACATTTATGATAGACGCTATACATCCCGGAAATTCCAGATGATCCAACGGGCGGCGGCCAGGTTGTTAACTGGGGCGCTTTACAGGGAGCGGTCAACCCTCCTGCTCAGGGAGCTCCACTGGCTGCCATTCATTTACCAGACCCAATTCAAGGTGCAGGTTCTTACCTACAAAGCCCTGAACGGTTTGGGACCCGCCTACCTGCGTGACCGCATCTCTGTATACGAACCCACATGATCCCTTCGATCATCTGGAGAGGCCCTGCTCTCGATCCCACCAGCATCGCAGGCGCGGTTGGTGGGGACGAGAGAGAGGGCCTTTTCGGTGGTGGCCCCTCGACTCTGGAACTCACTCCCTAAAGACATCAGACAGGCCCCAACCTTGGCAGTCTTTAGGAGGAGCTTGAAGACGTGGTTGTTCCAGTGTGCCTTCCCGGAATAATGATCCCATAGCACTTTGTCCTCCAAAGCACTTTACATTTTTTAGATCTGCTCGTATGCCCTTCCACAAACGCCACTATCACCTTTCGTCCA